TGTGTCCTCTTTAGTACATCCTGCAAAGGGAGCAAGCTTCATTTAGTGCAGCCACCAGATTGAGTGAAAAACAGAATGTTACTAGGTTGGTAATTTGCTCAAAGTTACACAAAGAAAATGGAGGCTTTGACTCTGAATTTAAAGCATATTCTTACAAACCTGGAGCTGCATGCTCCACAATAATGTATATAAGATAATAATTACATATTAATATGATTTATGTTAATTTTGTTTCTGTATTGGCACTAGACTGTTAAACACTTTGAGAGGTAATACAATAGTGATATCTAGTTAGCTTTGTTTAATCTAGCATTTCTGAATCTATTTGAATAAAGAACCTACAGTAGTTGCAGTGGAAGTAAGGTTCCACATGATACAGTTCTAGAAATGCTGAAATTGGTTACGTATTGCTATAGATGAGGAGCCAGGAAGGGAGTAGCTCTTTGTCAGGCCACTTGGTCCAGAATGACTGCTGGTGTCTTTTTCCTAATCTTGCCACTTGCTGGTTTCCACCTGACAATTTGGAAAAGGTAAGAAGAAGGAAGCAAACATCTGATATCTCTGCTGCTCCAGGTCCACAGAGCCCCAGAAATCTTTGCATAAATGTGTCCTATTTAGTACATCCTGCAACAAGAATAAGCTTCATTTAGTGCAGCCACCAGATTGAGTGAAAAAAAGCATGTTGGTGTCATTGTTCAATTAGATTGTCCCCTGGACTCATAGAACTCTTCCACATAGAATACAAGTGAGATATATGCTTTGACAGTAGGTTGATTTCTTTGCTTCAGATTGTCTTATTTTTAGCATTTCTAAAGATTTGAGAATGAATGATGGAAGACATGGTGATAAATTTTTGGGCTTTTCTAAAGATTCAGAAGTTCTAAAGTTCTTGCCAGTGACAGATGGTCTGTCCTTACTCATCGCTTGTCTTCCTGACAGGACTTGATTTTTTTCCCCTTTTTGCTAAATTATTTTAAAGTAAGCTCAACTTCTTGGTAGGTGGGATAGTCTAATTTGTTATAATTATATTTCTATATGTAGAAGTAGAATCAACTCTATAAGAAAATGCTCCATGTGTGCTCTTTTGACATTCTTAATGCATGCATGTCTAATGATAGAAGAGAATTATGGAATACGAGAGAGAAGAAGAAGCAGATTAACAAAGAAAATTCATAGTTCCATTCCTCTTGTTATTTTCATAGCCAAGCATTTTAGAGTTCCCAGCTCATAGCTTTTTTCCTCCTTACTTTCTCTTTTCTTAAGTAACCCATGAGTGATATGATCTTTTAAGTAGTTTTTCCTAGGAGATGTGCTACTTAAGTAAAAAGGGTGGGAAAAGGAAACAATTTCCCTTGTTTGAATCCTAACATAACTGTGAGATTAGAAATTCTAAGATGTCTTAAAGTAAATTCTACAATCCAGAATTTGGTCCTTCAAGTTAGCATTGCTACTTTTGATACAACATTAAGTAGGCTTAAATGTTATTATTCTACTGTAAGTTTTATCCTCTCTGAAGATAACTCCTCTTCATTTAAGTGAAAGGTGAAAGCCTCAAGGGTTACCAAGTTCTAGGCTAAGGAACCCTGTCATCTTTTTATGTCCCTTTCCAAACACTCCTTCCATTAGTTATATCAGTTACTTTTTTAATTAGTGGCTTTTTAACATTGCTAACCTTCAGTAACTTTCAATTACGAAAAGTTAGAGAACTCATGCCAGCTTAATGGTTATGCATGAAGAAGTTAACCTAGACCTAAGGAAATTATATTCCTCTTCTAGTGGACATTTCCTGAGATACTGAGTGGAAGCATCAACTTTGGGTGTACACTGCAATCAAAAAATTTCAAGCTTCTTTAAAACACGGCAGTAAAGTTTGACATGGATTTTACTTGTACATATGCGTATACTGTTACACAATTAAAGAGCCATGATGCGTCTGTCTTTTCAGTCTTAAGCACCTTTGTAGTAGAATTTGCTTTCCTTTCCCAAAGAAAAATATGGTTGTAAAAAAAATCCTGAATAGTCAATATCCATTAAAAAGGCCAGCAAATATTGTATGATTTTGAAATCATGCCATTATAAAATCATACAAGTAAAAGTTACTCTAGTATGTTTTAAAGTTTATTAAGTTTAGAAATAGGTATAAAGCTGAGATACTAAAAATGGTTTGCATTAAATAAGATAGGCTTAACTATTTTAAAAACCATAAGCAAATAAATGCCTCAATACAACAGAGTTTCATTTCATGTCAATTCAGTACCACAGCAGAGAGTAGAAAGAAGGATCTGCTCCATGTATCAGAGCCATTGTGGTTTCCAGGGTGTCTCTGAGAGCATGATGTCATGATCTCAGTAAACTGTAAGGTGCAGAGCAGACATAAGCACATGGGAGGTTTCATGGGTGAGATTTGGAAGGGATAGACATCACTTCTACTCATATTCTTGACTAGAGCTCAGTCATGTGGCCTGGTAGCTCTGCCCTGCATGGGAAATGTTGACCAGCTGGTGTCTCAGTAGAAGAGGAGATGGAGTTTGGTGATCATCCAGCAGCTTCTATCACATGAATTAAAAAAATGAAGTGAATTTAGTCTACTGCACTATTCATATTGTCTGGTTTTTCTGATAAACTTTTCATCCTCTTACTTGTTCTTAGTGCAGAATATATTTTATTTCATTTAGCAACCTAAATTTAAGGGATGCTTTGGAACTAATGATTTTAGAATAGTCAGTCTCATAAAGACACAGTATGAGACCTGAAAGCTTGAAAGTCCAATAGAGGCTCTAATAGACCATTTCTTTAAAATGCACATTGAGACATACGGACGAATTTCAGCTTACTCATACTGAGGGGTCAAATACACCTGGTGCCCACCTACGGTGAAGAGTTCCCAATTTAGAACATAAAAATAAATGACTTATTTATTTACATCAGTAAAGTGCTAATAATTTTCTCCTTGTTTCAAATTTATACTCCTGAATGTCTTACATTTTAATACTCAAGTGAAACCAAAGACAAGAAGGAGAGATTATTTCTCTACTGACTCTAAGGGAAGGAGGGTGATATAGTGAGTAGAATAGCCTTCGGTGAGGCTTTTGCCTTTCTCTTTTCTGAAATATGTTTGAGCCTTGTTCCTCAATGCTGTTTCATGCTTTTTCCTAAAATTTTATTTTAAATCAGTGTGAAAGATGAATTTTATTGTCTAGACAAATTATCAGTAAGTTGTCATGAACTAGTTCTTAAGTAACATTATACAAAACAGCTTATTTAAAAATGTCTGCAAATAACGCAGAGTTCTCATTCCTTGATTTTTGCTGGATATTGCCACATGGCACAGATTATCTAAAAACGACAATTTAAGCTAAATTATGTCATCTGTCTACAATCAATATTGTTTTCAGAAGTGTTTTCCATCTATACTACCTATAGCTTGGCTTTCATAGTTCTTTTTTTCTGAATTCTTCCTTTATCCGTATTTTAATTGTAGGCTTTTTCCCATGTATACATATACTTCTCCATTTTATCCAAAGACCTATTTGCTTATATTATATCTGATTTCTGGTTTATATTATTTTAAGTTCTAATGGGGTCTCCACTTGTTATCTAAAGCTTTTTGTGGTTAATAAATGATTGAAAATCTGTTTCTTCAACTATTAATGAAAAATAATCAGAAAATTAGAAATAATGGTTGTTATTACTGATGTAAACTAAAATGGTTTTTCTTTAGCTAAAACTGAAAATTGATATGACATATATTTTCCATAAAAAGTTTCACTTATAAATTGAACATATATGTATTCCAAACTAATAATAAGGATAAAACTTAAAAATAGTTAATATACCTTTCACGTCTCTGATAGTGCAATATCTATATACCTTAGAAGGTCTCAAGGGCTAATATGACATATTTGAAATAGTATGAAATTTATTAAAAAAATTTAGAAACAAAAATTCAGCAAATAATTATATACTTGAATTTTGGAAGATATCAATTTACAAACAATATATATTTTCAACAGTATTGCTTGTGATTCAATGTATCATTCAGTAGTTCTTTCTCAGTGGGACAAAGAATAACCACAAAAAGTGATTCATACTTTATAACAACTCCCTGCTAGTTATTAGAAAGAAACTTCATTTGAAATCAAATCTTTTAGGATTATTGCTAAAAATAAAAGGACGACTTCTTACAAAGCAGTCTCAACTATTATATGTCCATGAAATAAATCATAACATGTCTTAGAGTATAAGAATTAATATAATGGAAGCCTTGAAACAAAAGCTACCCCAAACACACACACATAGAGAGAAAGAGAGAGCTTATTTTTTTATCCTAAGCCAACGGTCATTTAAAATTAATGTCCAAAGCTAATCAACCAAAATTGCTGTACATGTATTGTTTTTCATTTTATATGTGTCATTTTTTTAACCTTATTTGCAATCTAAAAATCATAGTTTATTGCAAATATTAGTTGTTTTATTGTCAGATAATTTTTTAATTGAGCCTACTTCAAATATACATTACACAAACATTTTCAGGATAAAAAAGAGCCATTTATTTTCTCAAGACAGTAGCAAGTATATTCACAGAGAAGTATCAGAAGATGAAAATATTAAGTTAGCACCAGATGGTAGAGAGATATGTTATTAGATATTTATTAGGGATATATAATAGAAAGTCACCAATATTTATTTGGAATAGGACATTTGAGATTTGAACTCTGTTCTATGTTAAGTCACAAAGTAGTATTATTATTACCATTTTCTTGTTGAAACATACTTTTCTAGCTTTTGGTGAAGGATATATTCGAATTTATTTAGCAAGTCTATAATGTATCTACAGGTCAAACACAAATGTGTATAGTGTTTTGCTAATAGTTTTTCATCTTCAATTGAATCCAAAACTTCTATAACGAGTGATCCATTTTGTTCATTTACAAAGTATATCCACTTAATTGTTTGTTTTTCATGATTAATGCTGACAGCTGGTTTGTTTTCTATTCTAGGTTGTGGAGACTAATTTGGTTGCTTTTGACTGTCATTGGATCATTATAAATGAGGTAAAGCCAAAAATCGTATGTTCTCCCTCATATGTGGACATTAGATCAAGGGCAAACACAACAAGGGGATTGGACTATGAGCACATGATAAAAGCGAGAGCACACAAGGGAGGGGTGAGGATAGGTAAGACACCTAAAAAACTAGCTAGCATTTGTTGCCCTTAACGCAGAGAAACTAAAGCAGATACCTTAAAGCAACTGAGGCCAATAGGAAAAGGGGACCAGGAACTAGAGAAAAGGTTAGATCAAAAAGAATTAACCTAGAAGGTAACACCCACACACAGGAAATCAATGTGAGTCAATGCCCTGTATAGCTATCCTTATCTCAACCAGCAAAACCCCTTGTTCCTTCCTATTATTGCTTATACTCTCTCTACAACAAAATTAGAGATAAGGGCAAAATAGTTTCTGCTGGGTATTGAGGGGGGGAGCGGGAGGGGGTGGAGTGGGTGGTAAGGGAGGGGGTGGGGGCAGGGGGGAGAAATGAACCAAGCCTTGTATGCACATATGAATAATAAAAGAAAAATGAAAAAAAAAAAAAAATAAATGAGGTAAAGCCAACTAACCCTCTTGTCAACTATGTCCTGCTGTCATGTATGGAGTCGCAGTACTTCCCACAGTCATGCATTTCTAAGAGGGACCGGAATCCAAAGTAAACTTTCAGCTTACAGAGTGAATGCTGTTAAGTAAAAATAGAATGAAGATTTAAAAAACGACAAAGGTCTTTATATGAATAAAATAACTGGAGAAAGTCTTCCCTACTGAGTATCTTTTACCGTTTTCTGTTGGCACATACTGTCTGCTTAGAGAGAGCTTCTTTATGAAAAGTACATTTCTTCTTTGTAAGCAAAGCGAATGCCTCCCAGTGGAAAGCTTGTGTTCCATTTATATTTTAATGTCATTTTAAAAACTTTCATATCCATCTCCTTACAAGAGAATTAAACAGTTCAGCATATGAATATGAATCAACAGAAAGAAAGGTTTTTTTCTGTTTTAAACTTTACAACTGTTTTAAAGTCCACAGACTTGTCAAATTCTTTGTGAAAGTTTTTTTTACAAAGATAATACATAGGATTAAAAATTTATTATGATCAAAGAGCCCTGTGAAATAAGTTATTCCATAAGCACCTGCCACTCAAAATCAGAAAGCCCAGATCAGTCCTAGACAAATAATGTGATCATTTGTCCTCAAAAAGATGCCTGTTATTTATGAATAAAAATAATATATCATCTATGAACACTAACTATGGAATTATAGGATAATAATAATTGTTTTGGGGAAAAATAGATAAATGGATAAGAATTCTGGTTGTGAAGTCTGAAAAATAGTTTCAATCCTAACTTATAAATCTTGTTAGCTGTTGCCACAGACATAAAATTTTCCTGTGCCTCTCTTCCTTCATTTGTACAATAAGGATAATAACATTTACAGGTTCATAATAAAAAATTAAATGAGATATTATCAAATCCCTTTACACAATGGCCTATAAGTGACTCAATAAATGGTACCACAGGTCACAGGTCATTTTCTCCTACTCCTTCATTGAATACTAAGTATTATTCCACAAACTACTAAGTGATGAGGTGCATGGAAGATAAATGACTTGCTTCCCATTACACAGAAACGTAAAAATAATTCCCAGTTTTAAGTTGTTTCTCCTACATAACACTTACATTACTGATGGTATAGTTTTATTTATTTATTTATTTATTAATTTTTTAAATTAGGGCAAAAGATGCTGGAAATGTCTTTTTGGTCTGCCATAATTTAGGTCTATGTGATTTATCATTGTACTTCTCCTGTCAAATTAAGATGCATTTTTCTAAGATTCCTTTGGGCAATGTAGATGTGCTAGGAGATCTGTTTTTTTCTGCCACATTCTGATGCCTTAAAATGTGGTCCTTTGGGCCGGGAGGGGAGGTGAAGGGTTGGGCAGGGTCTCACTATGTAACTGAGGCTGGCCTCAAACTGGAGATCCTCCTGCTTCTGCCTTCCTAGTGTGGGGTTGCAGGTACATGGAACCATGCCCAGCTTCTCATACCTCTTCATTCTCCATCTCAAATGATGAATACATCAGATTAGAAGGAAGAGCAAAAAGAGATGAGAATGTAGCAGACTTTCAGATAACATTTCAGATTAGGTCTTTTTATTTCTATTTTTCTGTATAGAAACTAAGGTTCAAAGAAAATAAAAACTAGTATTACACAACTATTATGTGGCAATAATGGTATTCGTAAGGCTTTTCCAATGTAAAGATTCAGTTGATTTGTCTCTTTTTTCTCTCTCTCTTTTTTTTTTTTTTTGGTAATTTTTTTTATGGATTATATTTTTGACGTTTCTGCTACCTCAGCTGTAATCTTATGGGAGCCTTTTATCCTGATAGCTTTTGGTTATGGTTAATTAGTTTGCAGATTGCTTTTTAAAAAAAAGAAAAGAAAGAATCCTCTTAATCCCTATTTTTTAAATTCACTTATTCATATGTGCATACATTATTTCAGCCATTCCTTTCCTCTGCCCCCTACCACCCTCCTCTCTTTCCCCACTCCCCTTGCTTCCAGGCAGAACCTGTTCTACCCTTTTCTCCAATTTTGTTGAAGAGAAGATATAAGCAATAATAAGAAAGACATAGCATTTTTGCTAGTTAAGGATAGCTATACTGAGAGATTCCCAGCATTGCTTCATGCACAAGTGTATTACAACCTATTTTTATCTCATACCCAACTTCTGGTAGAGAAGATGACACAGATTTCCTGATGCAAAACCAGCTGTCGCCATTTTACTTGTCCTTACAATAGAGCTGATTAGAATAAAGACATGACTTCTTGCTTCCTCCCAACATGGATTAATTAAAACAATTTAATACAAGCATTAAGTGGAAATAGTCATTCCCTTCTATTCTTTAATAAGATTACAGAAGGAATCAGTAAGTTAATTTTCTCCATATCAAAGTTAGATTTTACAACTGTCCCTGAATCTTAAAATTATGAACACAAGTAGAATGAACAGACCACCATAACTTGTCCACTGTTTAAGGGTCAAGTTGCATTTTAAAAGAAATCACCTCTTCAAACTATATATTATATATTATATTATACAGGCATAGTTTCCGTACACTGACATGTATTTCATTGGTGATGTATCTTTTGTAAGCATTTTAGCTCAATTTCTTTTTTGTTGTTGTTAAAGCTTTACCTTTAATTTCCTTTTCTATTTCTTATAATTGTTTCTCTCTGGATCTGTTTTATGCCTCCCCCTCAGCAGCCTCTGCCTTCCCTGACCTACAGTTAGCACCCTAATTGTCCCAAATTTCAAACAGAGCACCTTACCCTCCAGAAAGGCAGCCTGCTCAGTAACTTAAGACACTCGGACTCAGCCCTTGCCAAGATGGAGAAATGTTTGCACATGTTTGTGACACCCTGTTAAGATGAATCTGATCCTAAAGATGAACAGATGACTGGGAAGGAGTGGCAGGGACAGCGTGACAAAAACTGGAGTGACAGGGACTCTCTCTAGGCTTTGACTGTCAGTCTTTTAAACAAACATGATGGTCACTTCATCATATTCTTTAGCCCAGTAGAAGAAGGGGAGACAGAGTTTGTTGTTCAATTCTGTGCACTCAGACTTCACACCACACATTCATGTTCTGCTGCATTTGGAGTGGTGAAGCTGCTCCAATCTCTCCTTCATCAGGCTCCACATCATCAGTGAGGTTCTTGTCTTCAAACTGTACTTCATCATAAGCAACTTCAAATCCTTCGTGGGGCTGTGGGGCCCCGAGGTGGGCTCAGCAGCACAGCTCTGGGTGGTTACCAGTAACTTGCCCTGGCACTCACATTCATCCTCAAGCTGGAGCTCCAGATCCTGACGTTCCCACATTAGCTCTTCCTTATCTTGGGCCAGCCAGCTAATGGTCTCCTTATTCTCCTCTTATAGCTCCTTCAGCACTGCCCTTAGGTTTTGGTAGAGGGAAATGTACTCTAGAGAGCTGTGCACAGAGGTATTGTAGTTCTTCTGCATGCTTCATGTTCCCTGGCATGACCTCCAAGAAACAGCTCTCCCCGGACACACTGTCATCCCTGCTCTTCAGGGCTGGGGCCTCCTTCTCCAGCTCACTGTGGGGCAGGGCTGACAGGTGAGCCATGCACTAGGCTGTTGCCTTCTTCTTCCCTGGCTGCCTGTGCCACCATGGCTGCTCTTCCTCAGCAACCATGGCTTCTCAGTTGTCTAGGTCCTCTGCAATAGTCAGATTGGACTGAGGAGCCTTCTTGTCCTTCTCTTTGTCTACTCAATTTCCTTCCCCAGATAAAGCAAGGACTCTCAGCTAGGCCTGCAGCTGCTGGTTCTACTGGCTGGTGGCTCCCAGGTCCTCCTGGTTCTCCTGAACATCCTGCTGGCTGCGTCTGCATCAGAAGCTGCTGGTGGTTCAGTGCCTCTTCCTCACAGGTGGACTGCTTGCTGGTAGGCCACCACGTGCTGTTGATGGCCACCACGTCTGCTGCTGATGGTCTCACTGCTCCTGCAGACCTGGAGCTGCTTGTCTCTTTAGCATCACCATCTCTTTCAGTTTGCCCAGGTTTTCCTGAAGCTGGCCAGGCTGAAGTACTCTGGCACTGCACTCCTTCTTTTCTTTCAAGGTGTTCATCTGCACCAACTTTTGCTGCATCTGGCTGGAGGACTGGAACAGCAGGAGCTTAGAAATCTCCAACTTCTTCTGCAATTCCTCCATTCCAAGCTGCATGGCCTCTTTCTCAGTCAGAAGGACTGGAAGCCTCTCCTCCATCTCTGAGCTCTCATTCAGGTCCTCAGCAGTCTTGTTCTTGCACAAGTTAAGAGCATATCGCTCCAGATCCTTCTTGTTCCCAGTTGTGACAGCTTCCCAAGAAATAGATAGTATAGCCTTTGATGCTAGTGATATCAGTGACAGGTGAAGGGACACTGGCAGGTAAAACATCATCAGCAGTTGATGCAGAGCAGCACCAGTCTTGGAGGACATCCTCAG